CAGGTTGGAAGGATCACCTATTGCCTGAGCCCAAGAGGTCAAGGCTACAGTAAGCTGTAATTGTGCCACTGCACTCCAGCCTGGGTGAGAAAGAGACTCCAAGTCAAAATGACAACAAAAACTTGCTGCTCACAACACTGCTGGGTGGGACTTCTCTGAACTCCTGGTTCTGAGTGCTGCCCAATTCATAAATTGTTCTCTGCTCAAATAAGCTCTGTAAAAGTTATTTATGTATCAATGTCTTTATGTATGTATGTTTATATGTATTTGTTGTAAGAGACAGTGTTAGCCAGGCATGGTGGCTCATGCCTGTAATCCTAGCACTTTTAGAGGCCGAGGCAGAAGAATTACTTGAACCCAGGAATTTGAGACCAGCCTGGACAACATAATGAGACCTTGCCTCTACAAAAAATTAAATTAGCTGGGTGCATAGTTCCAGCTACTCGGGAGGCTGAGTGGGAGGATCGCCTGAGCCCAGGAGGTTGAGGCTGCAGTGAGCTGTGATTGGGCCACTGCACTGCAACCTGGGTGACAGAGTAAGAGCCCATCTTAAAAAAGAGAGAGACAGAGACAGAGACAGACAGACAGTGTCTCAGTCACTCAGGCTGGATGTTCATTGTGGCACAATCATACCTCACCGCAGCCTTTAACTCCTGGGTTCAAGCAATTCTCCTGCCTAAGCCTCCCAAGTAGCTAGACTATAGGCACATACTGCCATATCTGGTACTCTGTTAAATTTAATTTGTCTAAAGTTTGTCTTTTAACAGTAGCACTCTGGTCCACAATCCAGTAGTTGTCCACTTTAAGAGAATGTGGAAACCCTTGGCATCACTGTTCCCTGGGCAGCCCTCCCAGTGGCGCAAATGTGCATATTCGTTCGGAATGGCAGAGGTTGTGATTAAAATGGAACCTAGAAGTGAATACCTGGACCCATTACAGACTGAGCATCTCTAATCTGAAAAGCTTTCAGTTCCAAAACTTTTTGAGCACTGACATGCTGCTCAGAGGAAATACTCACTGGAGAATTTTGGATTTTAAGATTATGGTGCTCAATTGGCATGTATTCTGCAAATATCCCCAAATTTTAAAAACTCCATAATCTGAAATGCGTCTGGTTCCAAGCATTTCGAGTAAGGGTTACTGAACTTGTGCAATTCCTCCCCAGTCATCTTGATCCTACAAGGTCCCTTATCTCCATGCCAGTGGAAGGGAACACTGTTTACTTTTTCTTTTTTTCTTTTTTCTTCACTTCAATAGAAAGCTGTTCAGTTTGAGATAAGGATTGGGAATGCACCTGGCACCTTGTCTGTAGTATGGTTCCTATAAATTCCAGTTCACCTTCCCTTTCCTCCCTTTCTTCCTTTCAGCAAGATGTGGTAAGACTCATGGGCTTGGGGGCAGAGCTAAGTTTGAATCCCACAGAAGAGTTACTTAGCTTTCTCTGAGTCTCAGCTTCCTCAGTGGTGATGACATTCCCCCTTAAAGGATGGATGCAAGGTTTACATGGGGTAAAGCATTAGCCCATAGATCATTGTAGATTCTCAGTGGACAGTGGTGTCTCCTCTGTTTCTTCCTTGTCTTAAAAACCTCATATATCTCTGTTTCTGAACTAGCTTCTGAGGGGCTGACCCATGCAGTTCAATGACCAGACATCCCAATACAAATGAGAAACAATATCGAATACAGTTAGTATCTGTCAGAGTAGACACATCAGGCTTAAAAGTAGAAGTTAGGACATTCATTTCAGTGTACAGTCAGCTCTGCTTTAATATGTTCCTAAAAATCACCATGTTATGTAAAATCATGCAATTAAAAACGACACGGCTACCAGGTGTGGTGGCTCATACCTGTAATCCTAGCACTTTGGGAGGCCGAGGTGGGTGGATTGCATGAGCCTAGGAGTTCAAGACCAGCCTACATAGCAAGACCTTGTCTCTACAAAAAAAAAAAAAAAAAATTTTTTTAAACTAGTTGACTGTGATGGTGCACCCTGTAGTCCCAGCTACTTGGGACACTGAGGTGGAAGGCTTGCCTAAACCCAAAAGGTGGAGGCTGCTGTGAGCTGTGATCATCGTGATCGTGCCCCCTGCACTTCAGCCTTGGCGACAGAGTGAGACCTCCACCCGACAAAATAAATAAATACCACAGGGCTTATGGGAAAAAGGTGGGTAGGCTAAAAATATCTGTCAGTGATACATTTAAAAAAAGGAACTTAAGAATGATAGCACAGTTTTACACATGTTAAATGATTGCAAAATACATAACATTATGATAAATATGGTGCTTTCCTTTGAAAAGACCTGAAGTTTGCATGTGGAGGCGGGTGTGGGAAGGGTTGGAGCTTGTGAACTTGACTGTGAAATGGTGCAGGGAGGGTTATCTGGAATTGGCCGGGAAGTTGTAACACCAGATGTGGACTGTGTGGCATACAACGCATGGTAAACTGAGGTGGCTGGTAGATGCCTGTGGGTTTTGTGTATTCCTGTGTGACTAGGTTTAGCTAGGAAAAGTTTTCTGTGTTTATCTGGTGTTTCTTACAGACAAAATCATGCATAAGCAAACAGAGAAGTCACATTATGCTCACGTTGTTTCCTCACGTATCAGTAGCACTGGAACAAATTGCATTTTCCTTTTTTTTTTTGAGTTGGAGTCTCACTCTGTCACCCAGACTGGAGCGCAGTGGCACGCTCCCGGCCACTGCATCCTCGACTTGCTGGGCTCCAGAGATCCTTCTGCCTTAGCCTTCCAAGTAGCCAGAACTACAGGCTCATGCTACCACGCCCGGCTAATTTTTTTGATTTATTGTAGAGATGAAGTCTCACCAAGTTG